AATGCTTTTACCCCCTTCGAATCCAAGTTCATTACAATAAAAATTCAGTTCTTTTTAGATATGGTTCTTGCAAAGTGCTTCTTTGTCTCCATCAGATCCAATCTTATTGGATAATGACCACTTCTCATTACTTCTACCAAGGTTTAAGGAAGTCAGGGTGGTGTTCTTGCAAAGAAAATTTTCAAGCAATTTTCTCTTATCCCTCATCATTACCAATTTGATAATTATAAAGGGTTAAGGAATCTAGGATAAGGTTTTTGTAACGTTCCCTTCAAATCCAAGTAAGATTTTCTTTCTAAGGATCTTTAAAAGTTTATCCATGACCAAAAATCAGGCTCCAAAAACCATCACGATCGGTGGAAAAATTCACCATTAAATAGAGAATGAAATGAAACACTGGATCCATGGCAAGCACAAGTAACTTACGCAATGGAAATAGGTATAGCTTCGAATTATTTTGATTTCAGTAATTGCGAGTAGCTTTTGCGACACAATTGTTATCGCATCCCTATTTATCTCACACAATTCCATAGAGGTAATCATTGTATTCTTATAAAAATTTTATAAATTATTTGATTATCACTAATTTCCTTTAGGCTTAAATGTGTGAGATTGTTACCAGATCTTAAAAACATCACAATCAAAGAACAAATGACAGCGTTTTTGAGATTTCTTTCGATTTCATACCCTTCATAATAGAGCCAATGTCTAACTCCACAATATAGGTCATTGTTAAATGTTCCTATATAACTTGTATACTCAAATGATGGCCTTTGGTGATTTGGAAAAGCACCTTCTCTTCAGTGTTTAGAAATCGAAGGAGTACTCTTATGAGCCGTACATTCTTAGACGATATGTTGGTTCGCTCCATTAAATCAGTACAATAATTCTACGAACTGACAATTCCCAAGGGCGCAGGAAATAGTATTTTTTTAATTCTAATAGAAGATTTTAAAAATCATATAGTAGCAATTCATTCAGTAGTTGGACCATGTTGAAAAAAATTGTAGAAGAATATAAAATTAGGGTTCTTATATTAAACTATACAAGATCTTATTGTAAAATCGAAATTTTGGAAACTAAAAACAAAAAATACAAGAAATAAATGTTTAAACATACCCAAAACGGTAATAATTAATAATGAAAAAAAAACTATCATAATTGTTCCAATATCAAACCGATCTTATATAGTTATAAGTAATTCTATAAACCTTATACATAACTTCTAACTTCATATTATCTTTTATTAGTCTAGATAATAGTCAGGTTTCTTTATTAGTTGTGTTATGAAAAGTAAATTTTCACAAATAAAAACAATAAAGACAACTAAGTTGCCAATTTAAACGAATTAGTGTATCTATAGGTTAAATGCTTAAACATACCTCACATCAACTTCTGAATTACTTCGTGGATTACCGAATTACTTTGATAGTTTATAAGCAAGTATATACTTTAAAATTTTTTTGGTCTTAACAATTCGTATCCGTGGCTAACAATCCATTTTTGTACTTGGGAAATGTCACTTAATAAGTAAAAATATTGTGCAACATTTTATCATAATTTAGGATTTGCCGCATATATAATTCTGATATAACCGGATCATAATAGTAATCACATGGCAAATCATATGATAGCATTTATTTGACCAATCAGAATTGTAAACATTAGAAAGCTAACCGATAAGAAGTAGTTATCTAGGCAAATTTCAATCGACCCCGGAGGATTTAACGATATATGAGGTTGATTTTTTTTAAATGATATAAGGTTCAAACATTTTATTATCATAAAGGAAAGGTAAGGTTTTAATCTATATTTTATAAAATTTTTGTAGAGTTTAGTTGCAGCCTTAAAAACTTTTACTAATAGCATATGTTCAATTTTGTGTAAAAAATTTTTAGCATGTGAGATCATATAACAAATGAACCTACCCTTTATTTTTCATAAATTTTTCAACCTTAATTGTCATGCTTATCGATTAAATGTATCTAAGTGCACGAACGAGTAATTCCGATTTTAGTGCAGAAGATCTAAAACTAATATATGCTTTCTTGCAATTCTGAAAAGAAAATTTTATAAAATATCAAGAATAGAGTGCATTGTTACTTATATGAGTGTAGCGAGTGAAAGCCTGAAAGTGAATATTAATCAATCATTATTTTCAGGGGTCATATCGGAATTAATTCCATATTTTGAATGGTACAAAAGGCTGATTTGGATAACCGGATCTCTCCACCTAAAACAACACCAAAAATGAAGGCTACTTGAAAGTGGGCATGGAAGATTTGGTCCGAGAACAAAGATGGTCTTTTATTTAATATTATTCTTATATATCTACTTATTACTACCTTTAGTTATATGAAATTAATGGGATTTATATGAATTATAGATTACAATGGGAAATTGCTACTACAATTATAACCCTGCAAGCAATATGACTATTTAGAGTATCTATGAAAGACTTACGATAATGTTTCATACCAATTTGCATTACTATGACTTTATTTAGTTCTCACAGTTTGAAACACAGAGGTGCCTTATTATTGTTCTCAATAGAGCATCGTCTCGAGCCAAATCCGAATTAGCATTATTAAATGCTTTCGCTTTTGTTGATCAATGCGCGGTTAAGCTCCTGAGTAATATAATTTGGATCCCGTTTTTGAATGATTGCGGTCTCGCTTGCAGCAGAGATTTTCGGAAGAATGACAATTTACCTGGTAATTTACTGTAAAGCTTAATTTTTGCATTATTAATCCAACTCATATTCATAGAATTAGCAGTAAGCATAAACCAGTGATTTAAAAAAAAGAAATGAAAATTAAAATAAAAAAATTTACCGACTGTTAGGTACTCAAACACTAGATAATACAAAACGAAAAGCCTCATGCATCATCCAAGCCCTCAGATTTGTTTTTGAGGCGCGATTCGTTATAGTTTTCGGAAACGTCACTTTTCTCCTGTGACACTACATGACGCAATTTTTTTAATTCTGAAAACCCATTAATGAGAGTTAAACTTTTTTCATTTAAAGTTGATTGTGATAATATTCGTAAAATATTTAAGCCGTAGACAACTTTAATTCATTTTATTTTACGTTACATTGACGCAAATAATTTACTGATATCTGTTACTCTTTAAAACGGGTTACTGGTTAAAAATAAAAGTTTCTTTTTAATTGAATTACGATAATGATATTTGAGAAATCAGATCCTCCCCGAATATCGAAATTCCTGAAGCAAAAGCTAATTTATTTTCTAGACTTACTTTTTGGTGGGCAAACGATTCAATGAACTTAGGTTATCAACGTCCTTTAGAAAAAGATGATCCATACGTTTTGAACGACACAAGAACTGCTAAAATTGTTATGGTAACTTTGAAGTCGAATGGAAAAAGAAACTCAAAAAATTGTGATGGGAAAAAAACTATCCTTATTAAAAGCTCTATGCAGGGTTTTGTGGGCTAAATTTTGTTTGGCAGGCGTTTGTATATTTATCAATGACATATTAGCAATTACTTCTCCTCTTATTTTAAGGGCATGTCATGGGCAAAACCGTGATCTAAGCCTTGAAAAGTAACGTGGAAACGATGCAAGAACGTTACGCAAAAGAACCGTTGTACCACACTGCCCCGGAATTCTAAGAACCTGAATCAAGATTTCGTGAAAATGCATAAGCTAAGCCCCATCAACGATCTCATTGAGAAAAGACACTTACCCGATTCGGTATGATAGCTGTCAAGGTAATATTACCTTGTCAGGTAAGGTGTGTGGCCGTGAAAGAGAAAAGCACATGGTTCGATGGAAGAGTCAATGAATAAATGAGTAAATTGACGGGTAAAGAACGATGACGTTGTAAAAGCCTTCATTTGACTTATCTTCTTTTTGCCTTCTTTTTCATCCAGTCGAATGTTTCAATGAAAATGGCTGTGTGAAAGGTTGGGAATTAGACCAGAAAAGGGTCAGAAGGCTTGAGTTCAATGACGGTCGATAATTAGAGATAGGAGAAAACGTTCGATTTTGTTCTTTTTCTTGCCTGTAATTTTGTTATAAAATGAGGTTGAATTCCTCTTGTCAAATGATTAGTACGTGTGCAATTTTACCCTAAAAAGGTTACGAAGATTGTAATTTGCCCCTACACAATAAAGTCGTTAATAATAAAAAAGCTCTTGAATAAACTTACGCTAAAACACTCTTTAAAAACTTTGTATCGAATTACTTATTTAACGATACTCAGTAGACGCCTTTGACCCGTACCAAATCAAAATCCGCCTCATCTTTCTACTGAGCTTTGTTATTCGACCTTGCTCCTTTTGACACGCCAGATCATCATTTTTCGTTTATTTAAATTGTATTGTGTGTGCAATAAAATTTGAGTAAATAATATTATTTTAAATAACACCTTCACAGAAAATGCTGATTTATCAACTTAATATTTTTAAAATTATTGACTGATTTTATATAAATTTTTTGAAGTTACCATATAATAGCAATACGCCTACTATTTAATTTTATAATTTATGTCGTTATTTAGAGATTTATTGAAGCAACTTCCAGAAGCATTGTAATTGACAATATTGATGTCAGTACTATTGGATTAAGAGAGCTTATAAGTAATATTACTATTATACTCAGGATCGGTACTATTTAATGGTACTATAAGGTAAACCAAAATCTTGGTCCGCTTACTGTATTTATAATCAAAACTTTTTTGTAAACTGATAATTGAATCTATTTAAAAAGAATAGGAGTAACTTGGATCCATTCAACAAGCATAGAGATCTCGAGTTATGAAATGTACTTTATCGTGCACGCTTAACTAAAATTTCCAGCCTTACTCCAGAAAAAAATCAGAAGTTATCCTTTCTATTTCGGATCAAAAAAATAACAAACAAGAACTAATAATTCTTTACTCGTGTGTCAAAAAAATGGATCAAAATTTTCCCAAGGTCAGCAACAACTGATTGCAATGGCCAGAGCATTAATTTGTCATTCCAAATTGATAATTATGGATGAAGCTACTGCAAGTATAGATTTCAAAACTGATGATTTAATACAGTCTACAATTAGAGAAGAGTTCAAGGATAGCACTGTCATCACTATTGCACATAGGTTGCAAACCGGCATAGACTATGATAGAATACTAGTCATGGGTATGTACTTTTCAAAAAAATTTTACTGATTTTGAAATATTGATTCATTCTTTCAAAATTAGGTGCTGGAAATATAGTTAAATTCGATATTCCATACTTACTGATGCAAAAACCTGATGGGCTGTTTAGAGGAATATGTGAAAAAAGTGGTGAGTTTGCGGAATTAATTGAAATTGCGAAGCAGAAATGTGAGAGTATGTTGTCGAAGAATTAGCACATTTGCTAAAATACAATTGAGTAGCAGATTTACATATAAAAATAATTAAGACTTACTAAAATGCATTAAAATACTAACCACTACAAATATTTGAAGCAATATATTGAAACTAAATACTTGCTGCTTATTCTCAATAAAGACTAGCATACTATTTATTAAAAAGAATAAGTTTTTTAAATAAACGGTCTTTTATATGTCAGGAAAATTTTAAAACCTGATTATATTCAATTAAAATGTAATGATTATAATCGATTAACATTACACCGTTGATTAAATATGATGGAGATTTTTATTATTATAATCGATATAAATCGAAAAGTCTTACTCGCACATGATCTTAGACTTTGGATACGCTCCAGCCCACGTAAGGTGGGATATTAAAACTTTATTACATTGCTTTGCAAAGAAATATACCGCATACATCAGTGCGATT